CATGGAATTCCAAAATCGGTTGTCCGGGCGGTCGTGCTTCTCCAATTTATATATTTAATTATCCAATGCGCACTTTACGGAATCCCTGTTTTATGCAAATTAACATGTTTCAGGCCTTCTGGAAGCTCTCGACCGTCCGAAATGCAACCGTTGCAACGGAGTGGTAAGAACTGTTTTTTTAATGGAAAGTGTCTTCAGTGAATTAGCTGGCGGATTATTTAGCTTTCTGTAATTATCATAAGAACCCCCAATGAAATAGTGGAATAGAGGGATTGGACTTAAGAGTTATGTGTAAGAAAAAATTTACGATGGAAACTATGTTTTATCCCTTAGCTATAAACACAGACAAAGGTGCTTATTTTAAGAAATGGCACAAATACATTAAAAGTGCATTGGTACTAAATGGAGGTATGCAAAAATAAGATCGAAATACCTCGTAGGGAATCTCAGTAACAAGATCTCCATACCGATTGTCCGGACGATTTTTTTGCAGCGGTTTATCTTATAGTTTCACGTATTTTGACTTGTAATTCTTAGAATGTCATTCTGTTAATAGATTTTCATAAAAATCATCTCCTGACGAATTCGGTCATTTTTTTTATAACCACAAAAAAAATTTTTTTTTTTGAAGTTTGTTTCCATTTGCTTGTAATAATAGTTGCAGATGAAGTACATCTAACCGGTATGTATTCAAATTTGGCACTCGGCAGTAGGGGACAAGAAGCTGGCTATGGTCACCAATCAAATTATAATAATTATGGCCATTTTCAGTCGCGGAATACAGTGGTATGTTTTACCAGTTATTATTTTGTAGTTATTGTGAAAGTTTCACTATTTTATTACATAAATATTCAAGTAGTAGCGTAAGGGCATACCATGGGTTCCTTCACACCTCACTTGGTGGCCTCCCCAGTATTCGGTTGACCGTGCGCGGGTATCATTCCATTATCCCATCTATTATCTTTCACCCGTGTCACATAACCAGTCCATCTCTTCTTTCTGGCGTACATTGCTTCGACAATGTCTTTCACACCAGATCTGGCTCGGTGCACTTCATTTTGAATGTGCTGCAGCCTGATTTGCCTATACGCATGTATATATGTAATAAAGTATATGTACACATATAACAAAGGATTTGCTATACATATATATATGAGGGCTTCATGCAAAAAACTGATAATCATGTACCTAGAGGTTCATGCGGCCCTATAATGCAACACCTTCATCCCTACTAACGCCGACTCCCCTGCGTGCCGGAAGAAACCAAAGCGCAGTCAGTATGAGTCCAAGTGTTAGTCTGAGGGTATAAATATACACACACACGCTGAGAAGTTGCTGATTATTTCTTTCTTCGGACATATGAATAATTCAGGGATCGGATTATCCATCGTTAATGGTTCCCACAACACCGCATTATCTTTGCGCTCCGCCGGCACAATACAGAACACCGTACGGTGGCCAGTCGACGCTCTGTTACCCATACATAAGCGCACAGGAACAGTATGAACGTTATCAGCAGATGACAAATATGGTAAGTGGGATTTATCCAGTCCCTGCCATATCATTGTCACCATTTATGGTCCTGAACTCCTGACCAGAAACTTCATTCCTCTCCTTCTCTGTCCTGTCCCCAATCCGTGCACTTGGAGCTCTATTCTGGGTATCTGCCAATCAGCACCCATATTTTGCTGGATTTATTTCGGTTATCTTTGTATAATGAGTAACGGGCATGGCGCAGTGTGACAAGTGGCCTATGCTAAACGTTCCGCTCCCGCTTGTTCGACAGCCACTACAAAATCAAGGATTCGTTCATTCGTTTCAGTGAGGAGTTATACCCGCCATCAGTTTGCTTCTAAACAATTTCACATGCTATTGACATTCACTCATACTCGGACTGCGTATAAGTACTGCATTTCTCGCAGAGGAGGAGGGAGAAAAGGGTAAAGAAACACGCCTTTAGTCTGTTGAATCGCCCGACTGCTACACACATGGATACATTCATTTATCTGTTTCACTGATAGTAAATCATCGTCTCTTTTTATACCTTAAAAGTAGTTTTAAATTTTCTTGTGCCAAACGTGTTAGGAATCGTCCACAGGCCATTGGTTGGAAAACGTAATTTGTTAACAACCTTGTCAAGTAATAATTATTTTTGGCAAATAACTGTTACTTGTATCACTTCGAATGCTTTGATCTCATAGAAGATGAATGCTATAAGGAAGGAATCGCCTTGAATAATTCACGGCTTTTTGTCAATTCTGGATCGAAAAAAGAAAAAATAACTGTTGATTTTGACCAGAGATAATGGATCTAAAACCATACGTATGGACAGCCATCTATATTGGAGAACAGTCTTGCTTTTCATCCCTTAGCTGTAAACATACACAGAGAGAGCTTTCAGGCTTCAGTGGGAAGCAAGAGGTCGAAAACAGAATACTTTTTTTCGCCAAATAACACCGATCGGTTTGCGACACATTGGGATTCAAGTCAAATGTGGAATGTAAATACACCGTGGAATTCTGATTATGCTGCCAATCGTTTTCATCACCAAGGGTAATGCTTATCGTTATCATTTCACAGGGCTTTTGTCACAGTGCTATTTTAGTATTTTTGAAAGTAAGGTTGATAGTTTAGCTTTTTTTTTTGGTGGCTAACTGGTAATCGGTATTAATGGAATTGATAACCGGTATTAATGGAATTGGCATGGCCGGGCATAGTGTTACTACTGTGCATTGGCGAATCCAGGGGAGGGAGGAGGAGGGACGATAGGTGTCCCCCCGCATGGGTAGCAGTGATAAAACTGAAGAAAACTGCTTTCGACACCTCCTTGCCCTCCCCCCCCCCCCCCCCCCCCCCCCCCCCCCC